TAGTAAACGGTTAATACCTATAAAAGATGGTGCACTTAACTGTGTAGCTTAGTGAATAATAGAGCATTTTGAAAAAGATCCACTATATGGTGGTAGGGGTTCTTGTGAAGTAACAAGTTTTGCTCTTTGATATTGCTCATTGATTTTTTTTAAAGCATAGGTTGAAACTTTACCTCTAATATTTTTATATAAAACATTTTTAATAGCAAAAGTTGGAAAGTGAATGCGCTTTGACTCAGTTATATTATTAATCTCCTTTTTTTGGTTGTCTACTGCTAGTGATATTGTAGTATAAACCTAGTAAAGGTCCCCTACAGACATTTGCAGATACGCTTTGAGAGTTGCATGTACACCCTCAATTCGGAAAGTTGAAGTTGTTTCCAGGTGAAGTACTATATCTGTCCATACTTTTACAAACCTTTTTTTTAATAGTATTCATGTTTCTTCAAGATATGAAATAATTTTTGGTTTACTAATATAAGTAGAATGAAAATCATTCCATTTGATATCAAATTCATTTTCAGTTTTTGATTGAACAATAGTATTCCATTTGGCAAGAAAATTTTCTCATTCTTCACTACCTGCTTCCTTTGAGAACTGTGGCTTACAATTTTTTAAGATGTTTTTGCTAATGTGCTATACACAAAACAAATTTTTTGAATCGAAAAAGATTATACCAAGAGCATTCATAAGAGCAAGTTCTCTGTCGGTTACAATAATATCAGGTTTTTGTATTCCATTAAACAAATGCATAATATGTTAGAGCCCACTTGTAATCCTCTACATCCTTATCTTTTATAAAAATAAAACAGGAATAGAAGATGGTGTTAAAACTGGTTATACCTACTACATCTAACAAAGGCATATTAAATATGTTTGTTTTGTAGGTACAATCCATTAAAATTACATTGGAATAGCGATGAGTAAGAGAGACAGATTCTTTGTGTGAAAAAAAAAGATGAGTAACAGAGCCAGTATTATCACATTTATACTCATATAAAAAATCGCCTTTTTGAAGCTCATCT